ATAAATGTTTTAAAGTTTCTTTCAAATTGGGTTTATTTGGAATGGTACTAATTGCGCTAATTTTTAAAAAATTCTGGATACTGCTAAACAAATATTTAAGTTTTATGCTGAACTAGTAAAGCCATCACACTTGCTCGATTTCTGAAAGTCTGTATAAAAATAATAATGAAATTTTCGTAAATTTTGGAATTTTTGCAAGGTTTCAGTGGATATAAGCAACTCGTACTTTTATTAAAATCTAATGAACAGATTTTATTACTTACCGAAGGGAGTTAAATTGCTTAGAAATAGCATTTAATAGTTTTCATTAAATTCTAAGTTTTTAAATTAACTATGAAGTTTGTTAAGTTGTACATTTTAGTTGCACTCTTTTAAGTTGAATGCGCAACTCTAGCGGAATTACTGAAACCCTAGTTTATCCTAAATATCAGTTAAATGGACAAACTGTTTATTAGTGGGCGTTTTCTGCGTTTTTTAGATTTCATGTATAATCCGTATTTAATAGCAGTGTAATACTCTGCGTATAATGCAAATGAAATGAATACTATCAAATATGAGTACTTGAAAAGATTCATTAATTTTTATATTTTTTCATAATGTGTATGCTGTTTATGTATGTTGTTGAAAACTTCTATATTAGGAAAGATATATTGTATTAATTTTTATTTTAAACTCTTTCATTAGTAAGGCTCATTTACCACTAAAAGTATACACATGAAAGAAAATTATTAGTGCAAAAAATCTTGTCTTTAACTCTTAAACTACAAATAGAAAACAAACTTTAATATAGAACTCTACAATTCAGGTTAACTATTTGCTACTATAAAATTAATCCAAATCAGTTAAGCATATAATATTTAAAAGATATTATTGAATAAAAATGCCAGAGTTTAAATAATCAGCTATCAAAATATAACAAATGTTCTAAATTTATGACAGTTGAATTAATTTTAAAGTTTAACATTCAAATCGCAAAATTTCTTACAGATACGACCGGTTAGATCTGATATAGAGTATAAGCTTAGATACCCGAATATTTGATTTAATAACGCATAAAAATGATTCACTGTAAGCTTTTTTAAATTGCAAATGTTAAGTTTCTTTTGGTCTTAAAATACATTACTACTTTTGCGCTTAAAACTGAATCGATCGTTTTGAAAAGGGGATCCCCTTCACTTTGGATCCAATGAAGAAATCCCCTTTTCAAAATGCCAAGTTCAGCTTTAACTCTACAAGTTATTTCAAAATTTAAGTTTTTAAACAAATAAAATCTAAACTATAATTTAAACTTAACTTTCATAGAATAAACTTTCCTTGCCCACTACAATATTTTAAAATGTTCTGGAGCTTTGATTTTTTTTTATTAAATGCAGTAGAGCTCTACATTAAACGAGACAAACTGTTTAACAAAGTTGATAAAGTTTAGTTTAAGTATCAGATGATTTAAGACTTAAAATATTTATCACCTGATTTTTTTTTCTTAAAGTTGAAATGTTATAATGAAGAAAATTCAGATCATGATTTTGTTTACAGAATTTTTTCGCGAAACAAATTAGTGGCAAATGTCTATAATGCATAATTGTAATACTCTAGTGTTCGAAACTGTTTGCTGTAATTGAAAGAAATTGTGCCATGTTATCTATACTATGTTCAATAAATGTAATTTGGTTGTAGAAATCTTGCTTTAGAGCAATTTTTCCTAGATTTTTTAATTTGTCGTATTATATTCTAACTGGTCTATGTATTTATACTTAGTATAAATAAAACTGTTTTGTTTGTGAATTTTCTATTTTGTCTTTATTTTAAGATTAAGGATTAAGGAACGGAGATAAGGAAGTTTCTGTACTTAACACTCTCGCTAAAAATACAATTTTTTGAGGCTTCTGTCAAAATCTGCTTTCACATGAAAATAGTTTGTGCCAATTTGAAATAAATTTAATATGTTGTGAAACTCTGGATGTTGGTTGGCAAAAAGTTGACAACTTTAATATTGAAATATAAAGGAATACAAGAAATTCTGGATCCGAGACTTTAAGCTCTTTCAAAACATTTTTGTTCTAAATCATTTAAGCTTATCTGTTTAATGCGGTTCTAAACTGTCTCAAAGTTTAGATTCTCTTAAATGAACTTTTCTGATTCGGTCAAAATTGCTATAATTAAGTTGTTTTTTTTAAAAAGTAAATTTGTATAATTAAAAGTCAGTTTTTGTTCCTCACCACAGGTCTTTGGTTCCCCACTTTTAGCTAAATTGTTAGGTGAATTCTTCCGTGATATAAGTTTCTAAACTGCTTTCTTGTGAGTTTTTAAAAATTTTCAATTTGTTTCAATAAAAAAAACTTGTCACTTGTACTGTAAGTCGATCTTCTTTTTTTAGTCTACTTTTAGTTTAATTTGTCAATTTTCCTCTTAAGTTTTAACTTTAAGAAAAACCTTCATAAAGTATATTTCTTGTGCTGTTTTAAGTTCGTCTATTTAAGCAAATATTTGGTAAGAAATATAGTAAAACCCAAGCAAAATTTGTCCGCCTCCTAACTTTAAATAACTAAACTTTCGTCTAAAAGCGAGCTTTTAAATAAGACATAAGACATTTTAAAAAAGCGAGATTTTTGTAATTCGTTGTTTGAGTAAAATCTCAGTTACTCCGGAATTATTGAACTTTAATTACCTAGGCTTAGATTATTTTTAACTTTTGTAAAAATTAAAATCTGCATCAAACTTATTTTCTGAAATTATTTTTCTTACGTTCAAAATGTTAAAGGATTTTGCGGTTTGCCATGCCGCAAAATCCTTTAACATTTTGAACGTCATGCAAATTTCTGCTGCCCTCTATAATTCAACACAAACTGCTTTGCAACTCATTGCAATAGTGAAACTACTGTAGTGGCTACTTTTTTGTAGTTTAGTAAGCAGCGATGCCTGGAAACTACTTTAAAGGTTAATTTAGAAAATAGACATGGTTCTAATGAAAATAATTTTTTGATGGGTACAAATTTTCACGGATCTGTCCATGAATGCATTGAAAATGACCCTGTGGCTGCAGCTGAGTGTTTAACGCAAATTTCCTATTTAAAATCACTTGTATAGCTCGTTCACCAGGAGTTGGCACTTGGTTCCGCCTTCATCACGTGGTATGCGACGATACTATTTCGCTATTTTTGGGAGAAGGTTGTGAGCAATCCTGAACAATGTTGCTATTTGGCGATCGTTTGGCAAAAATATTTATTTCGCAAACTTTATGTTTTAACAATGAATATTTCATAAATTTGATGATATTTTACACTATTTTTTATATTTCTTTCTTTTGAGTGAATAGTTTGTCCTTTATGAGACATTTCGCTGGGAGAACAACAGTTTTTAAATTTAAACTATATTTAATTAGCTAGTGTAACAAAAGGTATAGTAGCAGATGATAAAGCAAAGTAAGTGAAAAAGAATTCACTTTCTGTGTTTGGCTCAAATTAAGGGTTGTCTCAATTTCAACAACGGAGATGTTTTTCCTCTTACTCCCCCGCGCTGAAATGAACTCTGCGTCCGAGGAGGTGGAACCAAGTCTCAACTCCTGGTGAACGAACTATAACTAATATTTTAATTAGCTATTACGAAAAATAGATAATCACTTGTTCACACTTTCAAATGTGAAACATTGTTATTTCAAAGGAACTTACTTCAATTCTTGGATGAAATAAGAGTGCATAAAACAATCAAAAAAGTATTTAATAATTTCTTAAATTAAATATTCGCTGTTTGGAAAGGCATAAGAAGGTTAAATGAAATTGAAAAATTTTTTTGGAGTGGTAAACATGAATAAATGTTTCCTTCCCTTATATTTAATGTAAGCCTTGTTCAAAACCATGTGGGATCTCCACTTCGCTCGTATTCTTAAAGTAGTTTAGCCACATTTTAAAGAAAAGTAGTCTTAGTTAACTACATTTGTAGCAAAGTAGTTTTAATTGTAGAAAACTACAAAAATAATGCAGTTTTTCAGATCACTGGTTATGTGTTTATAATTGCAAATATTTTATTGTTCACACTAACGTAGGGTTTCAGAGAAGTTATGGAGTAACTACCACTACGATTAAGAAACATCAATTCACTAGTATTAAGACTTTCCATTCCATCTTGAGGTACGTTTTGGCAGATGAGAGTAGGCGATTTCCCACATTGTTGACCTGCAGACATGATATGATGGTATAGGCTCACATTGAAAGAGTTGACTTTACTATTTGCGTCTTGTTGCTTCTCATTTACACACAACGGAATCTTAGACTCGACAGCTAATAGCATCACTGGAGAAACCACACACACAACCGAGATCTTGTCACTAAACATACCGGTGAAAAGACCGTTAAAGAACTTTTGCATCGAAAATGAGCTTATCATCTTATAGTTTTTGCACATTTGAAGTCGTGACTTTTTCTAACAATTATATGCAGTTAATATTCTATTATTATTTTTGTATTTTGTTTCGAATAATACGTGTTCGTATACCTATTTCTACCACAAGCGGTCATTTAACCGGGAGAACAATTTATTGCTTTAGAAGGTTATCGGAGCAAAAATGATGCGTGTTCAACGTATTGCAATCGACGAGTCGCACGTTTCTGCAAATACTGTTGCGTAGTGAGTTCAATCAGATTAACTGTGATTTCAAGAAAGTGCTTAAAATTTTTGTTCACCATTTTTGTGTCAGAAAAAGTGACAAAAACGTACTGTTTTGGTAAATAGCTTATATTTTATGTTGATAGCTTTACTTCATTTCCAACTCACTGTTAGTTTTCACCCCGAAAAAGGTCGAAACAGTCAAGACAGCGACTCTTTGAAGAAATAATGCTCATTAGAAGAATAATTACAAGAATTATAATTCTTGTATTTATAAAAATAATTATAAAAATAATTTTAAGAGTTATAGAAATAATATTGAGAAATATGTTTGCGGAAAATGTACAAGGGAAACACCCAGTTGAGCAATGAATAAAAAATTCTTATTCATTTGTGTGTTGTAATACATAAAAATTGGCACTACACAATTTTGTTTAAAATAAAGTTGTTTTTAGTTTATTTCCTTCTTGACATCCCTATTTCATACATTCAATCCAGAAACATAAAGTCCGCTGTCATTTGTCCGGCTAGTGTCGAAATAGGTATATACTAAGTGTTGGTATGTTTAGTGTTAAGGATCGACCTTTGATGAAAGAGAAAGTAATTCCGTCTTCTGAAATCGTTGACAAAGATGCTAAATAAAGTCGATACAATGATAAACTCCAGAATGAGGAAGAATCCGTGCAATTCCAAAAACTGAAAAAAAAAATGAATACAGATTAATTTATAAAGAAATTGTCTTTCAGAATAGGAAGATGTGGATCAAAAAACATTATTGAAATTGTATAGGTCAGGGATGGCGAACCAATGGCACGCGTGCCATTTATGGCACGAGACACAATATTTTGGGCACGCCACCGATCACAATTGTTATTACACTATGAATTGTTATTGCACAAATGTTATTACACTATGAAGCATATGTAACAATTAAATTAAAATTTACAAAAACAAACAAAATAGTAAACAATTATTAATAAAAAAATTAACAATTAATGCTAAAGAAAGAATTCATAACCATAAAAAACGAGCTAAAAATAAATAACTAGCAAAAAAAAATAACAGTCCTGCTTAAACTAACATCTTACAACTTAATATAAGTTATTTGTCATCTAATCTGCAACAACAGAAGTCACACTGATGTAACTTTAAGTTGTTTTAAGACATGGCAAAATGTATTTTTTTTCAATGTAAATAAAGAGTTTTGAGTTGATAGTATTTAGCATTATTATTTTCTCAATAATCACAAAGTCAAAATTATTTGAAGGCACGTCTATGACCTTATTAAACAATTTTTTAGAAAAATTCTCACGTTGGTGTATAAAGGTTCGCCACCCCTGGTATAGGTGATGTCGAAACAAACACCCTTGTGGTACATTTCTTCGTTGCATCCATTGTTATCACAAAAATGTTGTGAATACTTTCGAAACCACTCCTTAATTACATTTAGCGGAAGCATTTTTCTAGAGAATTCGTGTTTAAAATTGAAGTGAAATATTGAAAGAACTCAAAATTAATAAATTCATTTATAATCTTTATTTAGAATAATAAATGAACCCATTTATTTTTTCTCCTTTATGTATATAATACCTTATACGAATTTGGTATTGAAAACTCTAAACAATTGTGCGTTATTTGAAGTTTTGCAACCCATGATTTGAAATGTTCAACGGAGTCCACCCAGAAAAGAAAAAGCATTTGACTAAAGGGTAACCAGTTTTTGTAATAAGGCGATCACAACTTTTTTGTTGATTTTTTTTATTATTATTTTAAATATTTCATATTTATTGTAACATTTTGTGACCAGTGCAAATAAAAAAATTTTATATTTAATAGTCAGAATCTGAATAAGATTTTTCGAAGAAATATTTATTAATTATTGAACAAACCAAAACTCATCTATTTTGCTAAAGGTTCCTAATTATGAACAATTTTATCCCGTACCTTCATTTTGAAGTGTATGAAAAACCTAATGTTATTTTAATTATATATTTAACTGCATATCTTTAGGTTACATATTTATCTTAAATTACGAACTGATCTAAAAAAATCATTCTGTTGCAGAAATTATTTCGAACAATTAGATGTATTGTTTAAAATATTTATGTACTACATACGGAATGGAACTATTACTAAATAAAAAAGCTGTGTTAAAGAATAGAATCTCCGTATTGAGAGTTGCGGACCAAAATGGTGGCCGTTACTTAAGAGGACAGAAAACTTTTTCCTTTCATAATAATTTAAAATGTAGAAACAGTGAGTTCAGACCAAAGTAGAGTATACCATTCGAATACTGAAAAGAAAATTTTCTAATATACAAATGAAAATAACTTATGAGAAGATAACTTAGGATGACGCAAAGTTCTCATAATTTGTTTGCATTTTAATATTTTGAAGTATTTTTTTTTCAGTAACTGGAACTTCATGACCTGCTCTAGGTTAGCCTGAACTTACATTTTCTTTCTTTTAAATTAGTGATGAAGAAGAATTCTCGACAAAATTTTTCTTCCGCTGTATAACGTTCTCTTAATCTACGTAAACTAGGGCTTTAGATCCATCAAGTAAAAGACTGAGTAGATACAAGTGAAAGTAGGGTTGTGCCTGCTCGAAACCTCCCAATAATTTTTCAGGTATGGAACCCTAAACGATGGAACCTTTTTTGTAAAACCTTGTCTTCTATTTATCGAAATATATGACTCGAAAAAGCCAATTTCACAACGTATTCCAGCCAATCTACAATTACGGAAATGAGTTGTCTTAAAACCTCCTTTTGAGCATCTTTCTCTTCGAATTCTGTCATACATAATTTTGAATAAGATTTTCGATCAACTGTTGTTTTTTTCTTTTCTTTATAGGGTTTTTGCACATCCCAAACAGGTGCCTAGTGTGCCCCCTTACATGAATAAGCAGTGTCCAGCGGAACACATTTCGGAAGCTTGTTTAAAGGTCTGCCCTATATTATACAATACGTTAAAAAAAGTTTATGACCAGGTGCAAAATCACTTTATTATAGGTTGTCTTATCTTGGTCGTTGTTGCTAGGTTTAACTCTTATCACGTTGTATTTTGTTGAAAATTTAAATGAAATTTGTGAAGAATCCACATCTGAAGCAAACTAGATACTGAAATAATAAGCGTGTTTTTTAAAAAAAATGAACGTGCTTCCGTCGTTATGGGGTTAAAAGGGTCAGCAAATGCCCAACTGGGTACTCATTTTAGCCCCAGATTCTTCTATTGTTTTTTTTTCTTCAAGGAAAATATTTAGATACAATTCTTTGTATCAAAACATTCGAAGGCTTCGAAATGACTCTGTATGGTGATACTAATGGAACATTTTTGCACTTATTTTATTCCTTTGTAATTGTAGCACTTTTCAGATCCTACTTTTCAGATACTGTGGTTTTTAACTGTAATTGAATTCTAAATTGTTTCAAATAGGGTAGAAATAAATCTTGAAAAATACCACCACTAAATTAATTATTCGTTGTCTAATTTTTTTATTATAATTTTGAGGGGTTTAAAATTACTCTGTAAGTTACTGAAGTTAAAACGAGTTGAATAAAAGCTTTGCATTTTCTCATGCCAAAGAATATCTATGGGTTGATTATCTCCACTATATGTTATCTTATTAGCCCGTTATTTTTTTACAAATTCAAGTCCTGCAGTGGACTGATCGTTAAGACACGGTTCCCAGCAGATCACCGAAGTCCAGCATCACTGGCTACGATCAGTGTGAGAGTGGGTGAACCCCTTGGACCAGTCTGCGTAGGGACCGAGGGTGTGAGGCATGGGTCCCCGTTGAACTGTTCTATCGTAAAGTGCTCGACTTCGCATGCAGGTCGTTGGGCTACCGAAGCGGGGGTGCCATCCCCTCTGCAGAGGATGAAAAGTGTTATAGCATGTCTTCGGATCATCCTCAGGGATGTTTCCCAGACAGTCGCCAATAGTCCACTGTGCATCTCTAGTGCGACGTAAATGAACTATAACAACAACTACAAATTCCAAAGTCATAATTATGACTAACGGCAACACAAACTGGATATGTCCCGCAGTGACACGCAGTATATCGTTAAGACACGGTTCCTAGCAGATCACCGACGTCAAGCATCACTGGCTACGGTCAGTGTGCGGGTGGGTGATCACTTGGATCAGTCTGATAGGGACCGAGGGTGTGTGGTATGGGTCCTCGTTAAACTGTGCTACCGTAAAGTGCTCGACTTCGCGCGCAGGTCGTCGGGCAACCGAAGCGGGGGTGCCATCCTCTCCGCAGAGGATTAAAATTGGGATGGCATGTCTTCGGATCATCCTCCGGGATGTTTCCCAGACCGTCGCCAATAGCCCATTGTGAAGCTCTAGTGTGACGTAAATTAACAACAACAAACTGGATATCTTTACAATGTAAGTTCAGAACCACGAGACTCGAAGCCTATTGTTCTTAAGACGTGAGTTCGTTTGGATGAATAAAACACTCCATCAAAATTTTTATTAGCAGAAAGTATAGTTATTTAGTGCACTTAGTTACAGAGTCCAATAATTGCGTAATACAGAATCTTCGAAACTTCAGGAGGGTAAATGAATTAATTCGATTCAAAGCACTACTACAGACAACTAAATGGAGAAATAAACTATTTATAGTGGCTTGGCGACGAAATCCCGGAACTTTCAACGGGATTCTCGTCAGTTATTAGTCCTATTGCTCGGACACTCGAAGTTCCCAGAACTATCATTTTGTCACCAAAAGGGTTTCTAAGTGTCACCAAATTGCCAAGAATGTCACCAAGTTATTAGAATTATACCCAAGCTGAGCCTTCCGTAGGAAATGCATTATTTTCTCTCTAAATTACGTGAAAATTTTTCGAGTTATTTGCAAATTTCATGTTAAGCTAATGATTCAGGATTCCCCTCATTGGATATTTAGCCTCATAAACAGAAAATATTGTGAACATATGTAAAATTTTGTAACAATATATTACATTACAAAAGAGAGGTTATAGATTAAATGAGTCGCTCAGAAGCCAATGCGGTTAAGTCCAAAACACAAAAATTGAGAAAATTAATGTTTTTTGATACATTAGTTTTTAAAATTTTTGGTTTATTAATTTAATTAGAAAAGTGTATAAAGTCTTTTTTCGAGGTGTAAACTCTGCAAAGAAACAAGATCTGTACAGGATGTGTAAACAAAAAAGTAAGTATTTATTGAAATAATGACAGCATCTTAAAAATGTTAGGACTTATACCTTTTGGCAACTGAAAAAGATAAGAAATATATATAGTCTACTAGTATAAACGAACTTTTATTTTTCACAATCATCACTAGATACAGTGACTAATAGAAAATAAACTGTTGGATTATTTCAAAAATTGTTTTTTACTTCAAAACTAGAGTGGCGCTTTTCTTTGTTTTAGGAAATGAAAATAAAATAAATAAATAAATAAAAACTAAAAATACTACATTTTAAAAAAATACTACGAAAAATACCATACCCCTTTTTTTGGTGAAAAAATACTACCGTAGTATTAAAAATACTACGTCTGGCAACCCTGAGTTACTATGAATTTCTTGTTTTTCAGTGTTACCAACAAATATCGAAAGAAGAAGAAGAATTTAATTTCAAAGTTTATGTAAAAAAATATTGATAAAAGGTGGACTTATTCACAATGGCTTCTGAAATTATTATACAATATATTCAGAAGCTATTAAAAAAAGGGCTGTCTGACCTAGAAAAAAGTAACCAACGAATAAATCCTTTAATAACTAAGAAGATTATTATTTATTTCATCAAAATTTCCAAAAATCAGAAAATATCAAAAAATGGATTTAACCGCATTAGCTTCTGAGCGGCTCAAATGTCTTGCATTGCTCTTACTCAGTTTAGGCATCCATTTTATTAGATATATTTGTAATTCTAAAAGTATCCTCGAAATGTTCGAACGCATTCTTTGATAGTTTGATGAGTGTTTCTTTTCTTTTAATCTGACTGTGTTGTTAGTAGTGATCGGCAATGTCAACCTTCATCTATGTACCCCACATTAGAATCGAGTTAACATGTCTTGTATACTAGTGAATCGGAATTAAATTTTTGTTGTGGTACTACAGTACTCCCCCACCAGAATTATATCTGTGATAGAATTCGATGAACGAATACCAGTAGTTGATTCATTGCTGTTTTGTGAGAAGCCGAGAGAACTGTATTAAGACCACCGTACGAATTGAAGTCGTGGTCGAGCCTGTGTTGACTTTTAGCAGTCGAGTGAATACGTTGTATGTGTGATCGAGACTGAGTAGCAACAGTTCGAGGAGGTGGATAATGTCGAAGTTACGAGTCAACTGTTCAATGTGGACCCTCCATCGAAGTAGGCGTGTTCCAATAGAAGTGGTAGTTTCTGTCATGGTAGGGGTGTACATATCCCGTCCGCGTCACCCATGTGGGAAGAGCTGTATAGACAATGTCAATCTTCATCTATGAGAAGGCACTCCACCGCAGAATCGAGTTAACATGTCTTGCATACTAGTGGATTGAAATTATATTTTTTGTAGCGGTTGATACACTACACTTACTAAGACACAAACGATGCGCTCCTCTGTGAACATCAGCCACGAAGTTTGCCTTGAAATATATGCCATGCATTGATAATTGTTTGTATTATTGGTAATAATGAATAGGGTGGCTTTCAATGAAACGACACCAGGTTCGATTCTCAGCAGTGAAAAAAACATCGAGAGAAGTTTCATATCTTGCTTTCGGACAGATCTCTTCATGTAACGCAAATGCGGATCAAGAATTCCTACACGAGGGATATTTTGTCCTTTGAGTTCCAAATGAGAAGGCTATGAAGTGAAACCCGATTATAAAAGGCTGCTCAACGGAGGTTAGAATATAAAATAAAATGAGCCTTTTTAAACGTGAAACAATGTCGATTGAAGAATTTACCTGTTTCAAAAGATTCTCATGTCCGTAATATTCCACTTTCTCATTCAGGGAGTTTATTTTTTGTTCCACTTTCTCTATAGATAATTGTAGTTGTTCATCCTGAAACATAGAATGTATTCATTCAGAGATTACTTTTTATATACAATCCCTGGCCAAATTATTAGACAAGATTCTATGTAAAATCTTAATTATCAGTTGAATACAGCCTTATTGTTTTTACGCGGTTAGCACTTGTTTACGTTCCTCTATCCATGGGTTAATGAAATATGTTAAAAACACATAGGAAGTCTCTTCCGAATAAATGTATGTTTAACTATAAAAGTACTGCCTATAAATGCGTGCGAAGCATGTAATAATTAAAAAAAGAAAAACTACAGTGCGTCTAATCATTTGATCTCATTATTATAATATAATACCTGATATAACAAATAATCTATATTTATATAATATATCGTCTAATTTATCCATTCGTCGAATTTGCATTATATATATGACCTCATTGAACCCATTGATGTCAACAAAGTCGCGTCAAAAACAATGTAATATCCCCTGAATCATTAAGATAGAATGTTTCTTATAATTTGGCCGCCAGGGATTGTATGTTGTCACTGATATACAAACACCTATTAAATGCATTTCACTTCAGTCCCGCAGTGGACTTGATCGTTAAGACACCCAGCAGATCACCGAAGTCAAGCATCACTGGCTGTGTGCGGGTGGATGACCACTTGGATCAGTCTGTGTAGGGAGCGAGGGTGTGCGGTATGGGTCCTCGTTAAACTGTTCTACCGTAAAGTGCTCGACTTCGCGTGCAGATCGTCGGGCTACCGAAGCGGGGGTGTCATCCCTTCCGCAGAGGATGAAAATTGTGATGGCATGTCTTCGGATCATCCTCCGGGATGTTTCACAGACCGTCGCCAATAGCCCATTGGGCAGCTCTAGTGCGACGTAAATGAACTACAACAACTACAACAGCATTTCACTTCACGAAACGTTTTATTTATACTCGATCCCTTCACTTTCAGTGGAATACTTCAACTTTCTTTAACACTGGTAAGGTTTTTACAGGTTTAACAAGGAATGACTTCACTTCAAGGACTGGACTGATCGTCCCGGCAAAACACCGAGCATCACTGGCTGCGGTCAGTACAGTAGGAGGATGGGTAACCAATTTGATCAGGTTACAAAGGGACAACGCATCGATCTGTAAAGTTCATCAAAGTGAAGTTCTTGAGGGTTACCAATGGGAGGGACTCTCCACAGAGGATCAAAAGGCATGTCTTCGGATCATCGTCGCCCATTGCACAGTGCGACGTAAAAAAACAATCTTTTATAAAACAATGCGATTACATCTTTAGAAAGTGAGTCTATATATAGTTCGTTCGCCAGGCACTGGACTCCACCTCCTCGGACGCAGAGTTCATTGCAGCGCGGGAGTCAGAGGAGCAGCATCTCCGCGCTTGAAAATGAGACAACACTTAATGCGAACCAAACAGTGAATTATTTTTCAATCACTTACCTCGCTTTATCATCTGCTATTATACCTTTTGTAACTCTAGATAATTAAATACATTTTAAAAAGGTCTTTTTTCTAGAAAAATGTCTCAAAAAGGACAAACTATTCAATCAAAGGAGAGAAATTTATGAAATATTTTATGTTAAATAATGCACATTGAGATAGATACTTTTGTGATGCGATTATGTTCTGATTAAAGTCCAACATTATACCACACTTGTATTCACTGCTGTTAACTTTTATTTCGAGATAACGTGACTTTGTTTTTTAATATTTTTTTAAAACTTATATTTGTAATACTTTGGGTAAATTTTCTAAAGATAAGCTGCAGTTATAAATTAAACAAATATAATTACTTATAAAGAAAGAAAACCACAATCTTTATTGCCTTATCATTATTTATTTTTAAGGTTGAAAATGTATGAAATGATCTTTTTAAATGAATTGGCAAGACTTTCACATCCACTAATATTATAAACAAAATATTTTTTATCACTCATTAACGATAACAACAACTAACATTTTTTATGAAGGAATTTTTTTATTATTAGACTTTTCATTTAAAACATACACTTTATTTCCACATTTCACTTTTCAATTAAAATAAATAATTAAATATTTATTGATTAAGGATTCAAAATTTTAAAATTTTACTAAAACGATTCAAAATATCTAATCATCAATTTATAAATTACCAAATAAATATTTTAATCGTAAGTAAAAATAATAAGAAGCAGAAGTCTTTTTTCATTAGATATTTAATTTAAAACATACAGGATATTTACGAATTGTAGTTTTCATTTAAAGGTATTTCATAAGTAGGATTTTGATAATGAAATATTTTACTCTTCTTTCGAATTAATGTATCGAAGTCATCTATATTGTGATAAAGTTAGACTAGACTAGCATGTTTAGAATAGTAACTAATAACAAATGATAGCTACAATTGCACTTTTAGTAGTTACTTTTATTGACGCGCAAATTTTGATGATGAAAAAAAAATTATTTTTTTTCGCTCCTTCAGTTTTTTTCTTTTAAAATAAATGCACCATTAATAATTTTTTTTGTTGACATTTTTGCAGTTTATAGATTTATTTAAAAAAAGGTTTTTTATAAATTTTGAATAATGTTTTTCATTTCAAACGCATTTTGTTGTAAAATTATTTTTTCGTTATAAATTATTGTAAATTTTGTATCTTGTTTCTTAATTGTCGTCCAATAACAAGTTTTGATGCTCAGCAGAGTCCTTGAAATTATAAAGAATTTGCTTTAAGGACAACAGCCATTCTTTCAATTTGTAGAATATTAAAAAATAAATAAATAAAAATTTATAATCCAAAACAATATGATTCTGATATTCCTGAAGAACATAACTAAAAATGTATTAATTCCAATTGATCAGTTATTCATTATTCGAAATTTATTTTATTTCATTTTATCAAAATTTATTTATTTTATTTTATTAAAATTTAGCTTATTTTATTCAAAAATCAAATATTTATTTGTATGAATATCTTATTTTTTAACTACATGTATATTTACAGGTTCATTTTGTTGTTGTTGCGCATGCCTGTTAAGGCAGAGGAGTGCGATTGTTATTGTTCATAGTTTATTTTATCAAAAATGCTAATATCATTAAGATTATTTCCTATAATTTTCCCTTTTACGTTTTTAAAGGGTATTTTTAAAAAATTCTTTTAGCCTTGATGATAAAGAAAAGAACATTTATGTTAATATATATGTTATTCTGCGATTTTTCCTTTTCCGGGTGTCACTATTTGAACAATTTGTTTGAAATTCGGATTAACGTATACTCACGATGACTGCTGCTTTTTCTGAGGCTAAGCTAATAGCTTCCATGGTTCCGTTGAACATTATTTGCATATCTTCCATCTGCTGCCGATACGATTCACTTAACTGCTGCAAATATCGATTCATCAAACTCAAACTCATCTCCGATGCTTTAATTCGATGCGTCAGTTTACTTAAAACAGACTCTTTCTGTATAAGAGCCGCACTCACCGCAACAATCTCTGACTTCATTTTATCCTCGTTCGTAAACTTGTTAGAGGAAGCATTCTTGGCCGGTGCAGATTTTTGTATGACAGAAACAAATTTCCTTCGTGAGCTGGATTTAATGATGCATTGTAAAAAGTAGTCAGTGCTATTGCACATGGTTTCGATCGTTTCGTTAAAAGATCGATTCCCATTTATAAGACAAATTTCTTCTCTTTTGTTATTGAAGGTGGAATTCAGGAATAAATATATTGGTTTATAAAAACAACTCCTTCGAGAGCTTTGTGCGATGTCATCTTTCTGAATACTTTTTCTCGTGTTGGTTAATTTTTCCTCCGAATCTTTTGGTAACCGTAGAGACCTAAAAAAAGAAATTATGCGCCTATAATGATTTTTTTACTATTTTAATGTTTTAGTAATTAAAAATTTACACCAATATAAACCCTTTCTAAAGACCCACAGTCGATGGGAAGATATTTTTCCAACCATAAAGATGGTTAAAAATAGAGGATCAAATACTTGATCATTTATAAGTAAAGAAGTTCATGTGTCTCATTCATACATTTAATATCTGTCTTTGAACAGTCGACCCAATTTTGCGACTACTCATACCTTCTCATTTTGAATCCAATCCAGAAGACAAGGAAACACCTGGATCAGTACCCCCAGAGGTATTGATTTGTTATGGGAACATGGAGGACTTTGCGATTCGACAGATTCTCGGGCGGGAGTCTTCGGCTGGCCTGGGATCAAGCCCACGAACTATTGGACATGGGCCCAGTGCTCTACCAACCAGGCTATCTCGGCCTTCATACGTTTATTTATTAATATACGCTTCTTTCACATTCATACGCTTATTAAACATTCATACGCTTAATCCACATTCACGCGCATGTTCTCTATAATACTCCGGTGTCACAGTCCTTCGCTTTTTCCACTTTTATACACTGTTTCTTGTTATACGCTTATTCCACATTATACTTTATTGTGCTCCTATTTCCCATTCATATTATTCATTCATCCTATTCCACATTCATTCTCTTATTTTGCATTCATACGCTTGTTCTTCACAAGACGGATATTCCGCATTTATGAGCTTATTCCGCATTCTTTTACCTGTTGTACTTCGCCTCAGATTCGTCCTCATTTTCTCTATATACCACGCCTGAAAGAATAAAAATAATCAAACATTCATTTCTTGAACAGATATATTTGTTTTTGGGTTGGGGAGGTAAAGAATGACTTACTTTTTCTAGGATCGTTTTCATAATGTTCGTCTATGTCAAACTCATATATCATGGAATAGCCTAAAACTCTGAAGACACTCAAAACACAGAAATGTTCTTTTCCGTGATAGGAAGATATCACTACCTGTTGATTTTTTAAAAAAATATTAATTGTATGCCCCATCTAAATTATTTATGTATTAAAAAGCAAAATTAATGGAAAAAACCGTAAAAATGCATTCATGCTATTAATGAAGTCAATAATAATAAATTAGAGCCCTGATGGCTCAGGGAATAGAGCCTTTAAATGAGGTTAACCGGGTTCAAATCCCCAGCGATGGCTGGTCGAAGCGAATCCGTACCCACTGCTGACGTGAAATATCCTCAGAGGTAGATGGATCATGGGTTAAAATCCTTTTTCTGTCAGGCTAACCGTGAGATTTTCTCGCGCTCTTCCTCTCCATGTAACGCAAGTGCGAGTTAGTCGCATCAAAAGTCCGCTACAGAGGTAAAGTTGTCCTATTGCTTGATCCATGAGTTCTCTTGTCTTCTGGATTGGGTTTAAAATGACTAATCCTGCTTCGGTATCCCGACGACCTGCACGCTAATTCGAGCACTTTACGGTAGAACAGTTTAACGAGAACCCATACCGAACACCCTCGGTCCCTACGCGGAATGGTCCAAGTGCTCACCCACCAGCACACAGCCAGTGATGCTTGACTTCGGTGATCTGCTGGGACTTAACGATCAGTCCACTGCTGGATCGACAATGTTGAATTTATAATAGCAGGACCTTTTATGAATTTGTGGATCATCAAGGCTTAGAGTTCATATAACAAAACTAGATCGTGTTTTTACAACCATTGCTTAGAGAATAAGGAACAAAATTTCAGACATCATTCAGTGCTGCGTAAACATGACAAACAACCGCTGAATGTTTTTGCAAATAGTGAAAATGGCTCTAAGAACATCTTCTTCACTGCATTTTTTACGTTCTCTGCAATGAATAGAATTAAGATGCCCTACTCTCCCCAATTCGGGAAAGATGACAAAATCATCCACATTAGTGCCACCTAGGGAGCAAATAAAGTTTTAAAAAGTATTACACCCTCTCAAGAAACTGAGAAGCTGTTTACCTCCACTGCAATTATCATTCTGACATAGAATTCTCTTTTTAGACCATATCGAGAAATAGCCTGTCGAAAATTAGAAATTGTTTTTTGTAAAATGTATTGAATTTCAAAGATCTGGAAAAGCTTCGAACATTGATCTCAAAAAGTCGGTCATTCAGTTCAGTAAAAAAATATAATGTACGTATTTTTTGTAACACCCATACTTTAGAGAATAGAAGGAAAAAACTTTAAAAATATTTTATGCCTTTTTTTTTTATTGAAGATGACCGCGCGCGAGTATGGGGAAAGTGAAAAAACTTGGATTTTTCATCACAGTATCTTCTGAAAAATTGAATCTACCCTCATTTTTTAAAATCTATTTTGTAGCATTTTTTTTTTTGCTAACTTTTAATCTCCCGGTGACGTGTGGGAGAGGCCAGGTTAAATGAACCATTCACACACAGTGAATGAGCCTCACTGTAGAATGGGAAGTAATCCTCCTTTTCCTCATACACACAAAACTGTCATCCAAATTCTGACTTTTTTAACACTCCTATTCTTGAGGATAGCTTTCAACTTAAAATCCTGCTTAATTATTAATTGCTTGTATGCTCTATAAACTGTAACAGTAGATGAGAAAAATGCAAGGAAATTGTCTCCGATGATTTACCCAGATATGCTTGAACAAGAACACAACAGGTCATACCGCCTAGCTCTTAACATTTCTTTAGTTTCAAAAACTTATTTTTTTAATCATTCTTAACCAAATTTTAAGCAAATTTAATCCATTATTTAATTTAATTAAAATTCGGTTAAGAATGATTAGAAAAATAAGTTTAAGAAACTAAAGAAATGTTAAGAGCTAGGAAATGTGAAATGGCATCACAACCACCTATACTTGAACATTGTTTCAAAATGTTCAAGTACAGAAAGCATTTTATGAGCAAGATGGAGGCTCTTTAATGCTGTGGGAAGGCTTTAACAAGGGTGGTGCACTTAACAGGCGACATTACCGTTTTTGCCACACACAAAAAAGTGCTAAGAATCCATTTATAGAGAGAATTGGCGGCTCAAGCGGGATTTTCCCTTTGTGGTTGTTCCCTTTATGGCAAAGCATACTGAGACCTCTAAATAATTCTAATCTTTCACGTTTAAAAATTCAAATTTATTTTATTTTATTACATTATAATTTTATTTTAATATAGAATGCATTTTGTTCCAATTGTAATTTTTTTTTATGTTTTGTCTAGAGGGCCATTTTATTTGACACGGCGTCGGAATGGGTGCCACAGAATTGTCAACTTTCGCCAAATGGCTCATCTAAATACAACTTTTCCTTACATTTCTTTTTACTTCCTAATAAAAACATTTCTTAATTATTTTACTTCTTAATAAAAACATTTCTTAATTATTTTACTTCCTAATAAAAACATTTCTTTATTATTTTACTTCTTAATAAAAACATTTCTTAATTATTTTACTTCTTATCAAAAAGAGAAAAATAAAAGGAATCCGTGTGCATTATGGGTAATAAAATATATTCATTTTCTGTGTTCATCATCGTATAAGATTTAAGCATTTCTCAATAATTTCAACAAAACAGTATGTCACTGCAGCTATTATTTTAACCTTAAGGTGTATACATCTGCCGCATTCACTAGCATGAGTTATGTGAGCCACAGGGGATTAAATTTGTAAACCAACAAAATTGTTGAAAAGAGGGAAAGATAGGTTTAAAGAGGACCTCGAAATGAAGAACTAAAATTGACTATCAGATAGCAAAGAAAAAAAGTTTTCGTTTAATAAACAAAGTAAAGTGCTCTGTTGTTGCAATTCACCAGTTGTGCAGAAATTATTTTCTCCATTTAATCAAAAGTGCAAACAAAAACCTACCTTGATGAATTTTCCCAAATTTTTCTCTTTCAAGTGGAATGTCTGGGTCGATCTTTCATCATTTGCCTCAAATGTTCCCAGGTGGCGCCATCTTTGAGTTGGGTACAGCACGTCACTCCAATAACAAGAGAAATTTCTAGGTGACGACGAAAACAACTCGTAGTTCACAAGCTCAATCTAAATTTTTAAATAAAGAAATTGTTGTTGTTATTGTTAATTTACGTCGCACTAGAGCTGCACAATGGGCTATTGGCGACGGTCTGGGAAACATCCCGGAGGATGATCCGAAGACATGCCATCACAATTTTGATCCTCTGCGGAGGGGATGGCACCCCCGCTTCGGTAGCCCGACGACCTGCGCGCGAAGTCGAGCACTTTACGGTAGCACAGTTTTAACGAGAACCAATACAGCACACTCTCGGTCCCTACGCAGACTGATCCAAGTGGTCACCCACCCGCACACTGATCGCAGCCAGTGATGCTTGACTTCGGTGATCTGCTGGGATCAAATTTAAAGTCTTCAAAATAATCTAAAATTTTCTTTGTATGCTTCTTTAGCTACACTTATTAATATCTTATAGACAGCAGTGTAGTTATTGACATTTGCTCGAGAAAAAAAAATAAAATAGAAATTCACCAAATCTTGAATGCCAGGAAAATGACATATTACCTTCGAAGTTTAAAAAACAGTCATTTTAAGTTAATAGTAAGTAACTCAACTTAAGCCTTTATGTTTGTTGGACCATAAATTGCTTAAATTAATTCTTTTTATCCACTGTAGAAAGAAACAAAAAAATTTTTGTTGCTGATGTGTACAGAATAAAATTTTGTATAATAATCAATCATTAAATAAATAAATAACTTTGATTACATCCAAGCATATTACAAGCATACATAAACTTGGTATTAGGTTAATATTTGCTTTCCCTCTTTACAGTATTAACAGTTAAAAATAATTTCTGGTAACGCTTCAATGTCCTGGCATTCATAAGCTAGGAAAATGACAGCCAGGATAATGACAAATTCGCCATTTTATAGCATATAACTTTACTTTGATTTAATATTTCGGCCGAAGACGTTTATATTCTGTAGAAAACAACTGTATTTCTTAAAATAACTCAGATAAATCTATGTAGTTTTTGTTATTAATGATTTCAAGAAGCCATCAAAATGACAGCATAAAAACCTACTCATCTTGAAAACATTTTTGAAATAGATTTTGAACCAGAAAATTGGTTCTTTATTCATGCAACAAGACATGTTCAGATAGGAGGGTATCTAATCAATCTATTAACATAAGATATTGATTTCTGGCGCTATCTATTTTGGTTATAATTCACTAAATAAAAGTAGCCAGGAAAATGACAGATTTTCAAGGGACAAACAAATTATTAATTGATAGAAAAAATTATTTTAAACGAAGTTTTAGTAAACAATATCCTCTGCTTATATTCTAGAAATGCTTACATAGGATAAGATAAAAAAAATTAGATTTTGAAAAATGTATGGGAAGTTTTGGAAATATTGTTTGGGACATGCCAGGAAAATGACATGTTGATATTCAATTAAATTAATGCTAGTGCAAAGTCATTTTAAAAGACTAACAGCAATGCTATTTATAATTTCTTTTTTTAAAAAAAATTCTTTTAGTATTATAGTATTAGATCTTGGAGCAAGGGACAGTGAATTGTCATGCTTCGAGAGAATCACCCATATACCAGTGTTTCCCAAACTTATGACTTTTGTGCACCCTTTCTAAATTTTTCGTAACGCTGTGTACCACTAATAAAAAATTTTTTGTATTTTTTTAAAAATATGTTTATTTTTCTTTTTTGGTACAACATTTTGTAGATACTATCCAGCGATCCGTATTCTATGTTAAAGATAAAAATTATATTTCATAAAACTAATCAAAATAAGTAGAATTTATTACAAACCTTTACTATAAAAAAATTGCACAAAAGTTAAAAATCACAACTGGCTGTTGACACCACTCATTATTAACTGTTAACTCTGCAAAAAATAGACAATAGAAAAATACGTCATCATAAATTTTCATGGCTAGTTTTGTTATTAAATAAAATTGTTTGAAATTTTCGCTAGTTGCAAGATATTTCGCATAAGAACGCGTACCCCCACTAAACTGTTCCCGTATCCCTGGGGGTACGGGAACACTTAAGAGTAAATTTATTTTTCAAGTCTGTAGGTAGCGCCACTAAGACAACCTATTTTCTTTTAAAAAAAATTATATGCAATAAAGTTTAAAAAAAATATTGTATAATATAATACAAATGATATGTAAATAAAAACAATTATATTAAATAAAACAATAAATTTAATGAATATAAAGCGTAATTGTGTGATAAAATGAAGGAAGAAAAATATATAAATAAGAATTTTGGAGTAAGAACATAGTTAGGGGAAGGATACCTGTGTAGCTTCGATTGTATCACAAAGTTCGATGATGAACCAAGTAGTGCTCACATGACAGGGATTCAACATGTATTCATCGATTTTCTCATTCAGTATGGACATTCGAAAGGAAGATTCTGGATTCGATGAGAGAATTTTCGCCCCACACTTTGCAGAAGCATAATTCAGTTTCCTTCCCTGAGAGAAATGTTTCTTCTCATCCAAGTTTATCTCTAAAATAAGATAACATTCATTCAATTCCCTGATTTGCAGTTTTCAAACTCTTCCGAATACTGTCGAAAACGGTAAAAAAGAGTTTAATCTTAACCGCTTCTTTTACCGAGGGAGAAAAAAAAATGCAAAAAATCAACACATTTTTTTTAATTTCATTTATGAATTCAAGGAACAAAACATAATACACAAGTTTTAAGTTGAAATTTTAAAGTTTTCATGTGTAAAAAATATTTAATTTACCATCAGTTTACTACCCTAAATGATCTCGGGCAAAAAAAGTTAAACATGAGTATGCGTTCATAACCTGAACAAAATCATCTACATCAGTGATTCTCAACCACTGTGCCGCGGCACTTTTGTGTGCCGCCGAATTCTTAAAATGTGCCGCCAAATATCAGAAATGATACACTAAAAATTATAATGATTTTTTTTATTATGAGTAAAGTTTAAATTAAAGAAAAGTGCATATATATATTACCGTTAAAGTATATAATGCAGTTATAAACGAAGTAAAAAAAAAAATAGCAACTAATAATGTATATTCTAGGTTGAAAAGCACCAGCAGGCGTTAAATAGTTATTCATTCTAATTTCTAATGCAGTTTATTTTTTATTTTACGCACCTCAGATATGTGATTTTCAAAGGTTCTACGAATGAATCCTGAGATCTCTAAAGAAAACAAACTTTTAAATGTTATTACAAACTTTTGTAGTTATTAAAGCATAACAGTGAATGTTATTAAATATTAAAATCGTCAGCAGAAATGAAGGCTTGGCGATAATTCCTAACATAACTTCCCAGAGGAAATAATCATGATTACAGCTGGGGGGTGGGGGAAGAAGGCTGAAATATAATCGATTAAATCTCTTATGTTTCTAAAAGACTATTGTTGCGAATGAAAGTTACAGCTTAATATTCAACTAAATAGAATTAAAACTAAATGGATTCCTAAATAAGAAGGCTGAAATATAATAGATCAAATCTCTTATGTTTCTAAGAGACTATTTATTATTGCGGATGAAAGTTAAAGCTTAATATTTAACTAAATGGAATTAAAACTAAATGGATTCCTAAATCTACAGCTTAGCTCAACACATTTTTTCATTTCTAACTAATAAAAATTAAAATTTCAAAAGTTTTCGATTATCTTTCTAAACAAATTACATATTTCAAAAAGCTTCTAGACAACTAGTCTCCAATGTTAACCTTTTTCTTCAATATTTTACGTTTTGAAAAATATCTATGGGATACTGGGTGATAGATGTAAGATTTTCACATATAAATCCATTTCTGATAACAAGTTGTATATTAGGTAAATAACCATGGCAAAAATAGGAAAATGGCTAATTCCCAATAATGAATAGTGGTGCAATGAATTCTGTTATTTAAGAAACAACAACAATATGAATAATGCACTAACATTTTAATTCATCAATTATATTGTTAATTATATTAATCCCTTAATTAAAAAAAATATGCATGTAATTGCAATGATTTTAAATATCCGCTTAAACGTATAAAACATTTTTATAAGTCTAATTCCTTTAATATTTTAATTTATTTCTATTAATAAATGGAATGTTTTATTAAAATTGCTATCAATAAACAAGACAATCAACTTGCGTTGAATCTCCGACTTCAATGTAAGAGTTGGTGTGGACTTGTTGGCACACAACTTTAGTCTTCGTAGGAAGAAATCCAGTGGTGTTTATCATGATCTTGAGGGGAAGGGGCAATTCTGATCACTGAATTATGAGAGTATACGACCAGGAACAGGAAATGTCTCATGCAGTAATTGGATTGTTTATTGGACTTTTCAATAATAAAAACGCGTAGCTCCTAATTGCTGTGCTGCATTTTTACTAATTCCAAACTATTAGTCATCTACTGTTTTCTTTCTTTTTGGTTACCAAGACTAAACAATGAATTTTCTATTTAATGGCGTAAATTTTGGAACACCCTTTATTACAAGTTAACCATTTTTTGTCTAAGTTTTTTTTTGTTGTTGTCAATTTAACTAAATACGAACTGTTAAACTGAAGTGAAAAGATATCACCTGATTAAAAATTACATGATTATCTGATTTTTGAAGTGTGTGAAGTTTTTAATCAGGTAAATACGAACATGTGAATAATCAAAAAATTTAGTAACCTGCGCTAAAAATAACAGTATATAAATTCCAACGACTAAAAGATAATATCAAGCAGTGTATAGTCTGTAGGTACTTTTCGAATTTATTGATAAAATTGCAAAATTCTCCTAGTGCAAAAGGTTGAGAAGAACCTTAGATTAAATGAATTATTTTATTAAATTTAAATTTGGCGTATTTATAGAGATGTACGCATGAAAAAAAAAATTGGATCGCCTTTATGAAATTATTTCACGTAAAATCCCAATTAAATGGAAATTCACATTTTTTGAAAAGAAAATATGTCTCTAATATTAAACAAATTACGAAAAAAATGTATAAATTACATTTTTAAAATATTGCATCAATATTTTCAATCGCACTTTTCAAGTAAAAAAATATNTACTTGTTAAATTATAATCTAATAGTCTTGAATATATTTTTTATAAATATTAATAAAAATACGTAGTCAACATTTTTAAGCATCTCTCACATCATTGCAAATTTCTCAACATATCTTATATATCGTCTTAATCTTAAAGGTAATTTTTTAATCACCTGTCCGGAAGTGTTTCGCAGAACTATTTTACCAACTATTTAATTAAATTTTAACATTTTTAGAAATCTTATTCTTTACCCTACTACGTTTATTATTTCTTCATTAATATACTAATAAATTGTTTTAGTACTTTAATTTAGGTTTTCCTTAAAGTAAAGTTCCTTTTTAAATTATAGTCAAGTTTTTTTAAAAAGAATTATTGTCTGCCAGCTAAGAATAAACGACCTTTTAATAAGTTGTACAAAACAAAAGTATTGAATTACAAATTAAATAAGAAGTAGATTTTACCTGAGAAATAAATTTTTTTGCATCGTTGGTATGTTAAATTTCTCAGAAACAAAGAAATTAGGTACTTTTTTCAACGAAAGAAAAGTATTTTAAACACATATTGAGGTTTTATGAAATTTGCCCCCCAAAAATAGACAACTAGTATATTTTAGTTTGCGTTCCACAAAAAAGGCTTCGAGTTCCGGATGTGGCCCGTGGCCCACCAGTTGGTAGCCTTTGGTTTAGAGGTACCGTATAAAATATCCACACTATTATTGATGCTTAATTAATCTATGTTAATTTAGTTTTATAAGCGTCGTTGAACAGCCGACCCAATTCTGGAATACCGATGTTTAACTCCGTAGCCTTGGAATCCAATCTAGAAGACAAGGGAACTCCAGTACCCCCAGAGGCTTTGATTTGTAAGGAGAACTTTGAGGATTGTTTGGCGGCCCCTACAGATTTAACAAAAACTCATATGTTGAAGGGTTATGCAATGAGTATCAAATATACTAGTGTGAGTATAAAGAATTATATTGATATATTTGGTGATTATTAAAACTGCACCCATATTAAGCAGTTTGTTAAGCTGTGAAAAGGGATATGTACCGTATTTAGTAGTGGTTTGTTCTAACTATCATGAGTTGGCTACGAGTCATGTCAGTGATGCTTCTATTCTGATGGAATGAACTGCGTCTTAATGTCATAACGTAAAGTACCCATACTAGAAGGTACTTTCAGAGAGGAAAGCAAGGCGAAACTAATAATTCTTTGCCTTACCACTGACTAATTTGAAAAATCATGCAAACTAATGTGGATTTTATGTTAAAATGAAAACAATCCTACCCAGATATGAATGCACGTCCTGATTTACCCCTAAAAATGTCTTCAGTTTTGAGCAGGATTTCGTACCGTTGATTGATTTGTGTATATTCAGCCAGAGGGTGCGAAGAAATTTAATTCATTACAGAGCGACAATCCCTTAGTTAAAAGGGAAATATTTAGAACGTTACTTCCAATTAAAAATTTCGTTACAAGAAAAAAAATTTGGTTGCAGACTCAGGATTTTCAACAAAGCGACTGAATGCTGATTTTGGATCGAGTGTGAACTATCGTTTATTGCTGGATTCGACTGTACTTTATTTTTGTGCAATTCATTTGACATTTATAATTGCAACCGGGCATAGCGAAAAACCTTTAAATTGTTCTAAATAAGGGACTTCTTGAGAACAATTAGAGAAGATAACGACCCCGATGAACAAACCAAGGGGTGCCAACAAACGGAAAGGTGACTTTGAGGAAGATCTTAACTCATTGTGATGGACCATTCCAAATCGAAAACTCTTTGGTGGTGGCTAAGAGTTTATCAGGGTGGATTTAGTATCCACCTTGGACTGGATTTTTCTATCCAAAGATCTTTAGCGACCTGTGTTTCGTATCTTAATTTAAAAAACTCAAGCAACAAAGAGCTTGTCTTATAATTGTAACATCAAGAGAAAAATCTCTAAAAAAAGGCCTCTGGTTTTTAAAGTCTGTATCTAACGGTTCGGAACAGAAGTATGGTCTGTCACACAGACGTCATTATGTAACAGCCTTCTTAGCTGTCTAATTCAGTAACCTTGTGAGTTTAAACCCAGCATTTGCTAACTCAAACCTTCGCTTTTTTGATAAACTAATACGTGTTACAAGGGGAAGGAAACCCCGGGAACTTCCATCGGTTAGCCCGACGCTAAAGGGATTCAAACCCGTGCAACAACTGGGACGTTGTAGCTTCCATGTACCGGTAGCAAGATTCGAACCTGGGGAAGAGCTCCTTCGATTACTTTACCCTGTTAATAACGATAGATCTTGAAACACATTTTATCTCTTTATTCGCAGATTACTCATTATTTGTTAAATGTTTCCCACATAAGATTGATGCTTACAGAAAACACAAGAAAAATGATTTCATTTATGAAAAGGTAGAATCGAGTTAACACGTCTTCTAGTGAATTGGAATTACAGTACTCCCCCACCAGATCTGTGGTGGAATTCGATGAACCACTAGTGGATTCATTGCGGTTTTGTATTAAGATCACCGTACTTTCGCCTACAGCTGTCATAAGTTCACGGCCGTGTTCGCTCCCGTCTTACCATTAGCGGTCGAGTGTATGCAGTGAGTATTCGAGACTGATGTCGCAGTAGCAAGTCAACTGTTCAATGTGGACATTACATTGAAGTTCACATCATGTCCGAAGGTTATCCATGTGAGGGATAGTAGTTATTGACCTTCATCTTAGAAGAGGTAATCCTTCCTAGAATAGAGTTAACATGTCTTATATACTAGTGAATCGGAATTGTATTTTTGTTGTGGTAGACACAGGGTTTTGTTTTGTTCCTATAAATCAATCTCCAGTGAGTCGACATGATTTACAAGAGGAGATATTTCAGGAATTTTTTTAATAATCTGAAAATGACTTTACCTTGTCTAGTTAATTCCTCTTCCTTCCATGCATCGAATGGAGGCAAAGTGTTGGGAGAAGGAGACTTTTTAAGCACCCTGTATATGTCCGAAATGACAATAGAATGTTTATCTTCAGAAAATCCATTCGGATACAAAACCTCCAATTTTCTAATTGTTACCACTCTTGTTGCAATGGCGTCAAAACTGAAAGAGCACAATAACACTGTAGTGTATCTACCACTACAAAAATACAATTCCAGTTTCCTACTATATAAGACATGTTAGAACGATTGTAGGGTGGGGTACCTTTTTATAGATGAAGGTTGACATTGTCGATAGCTACCCTCACCACATGGGGGACCTTCGGACGTGATGTGAACACGCCTCCCTTGACAGAAACTCCCACTTCGATCTGAACACACCTACTATTCGATGGATGGTTCACATTGAACAGTTGACTTGTGACTGCGACATTATCCACCTCCTCGCGCTGTTGCTACTCAGTCTCGATCACACACAAAGTTCAACACTCGACTGCTGATGGCAACACACGAGCGACCACGGCCGTGAACTTAATACAGCTCTCACGATCAGCACTCAAAAGTACGGTGATCTTAATACAGCTCTCCCGGCTTCTCACGAAACAGCAATGAATCCATTTGTGGTATCCGTTCATCGAATTCTAACACAGATGTAATTCTGGTGGGGGAGTACTGCGTCTACCACTACTATAATACAATTCCCTAGTATATAAGACATGTTAGAACGATTCTATTGTTGAGTACCTTTTCATAGATGAAGGTTGACATTGTCGATCACTACTAGCCCCACAACAACCCAAGCGACTTATTTTTGTAGCGATGTTCAAAACTCATTATTTTACTATCAATTTACAAATGGAATGGCGTAAAAAGTGAGTGATGAAATATTTACTTGGGAGGTATGTTCCATGTAGCACTCCAAAAGAATAAGAACATCAGACTCATCAGCTGAACTAAACTCAAAAGTTCCTTTTGTAGATCCATTCTCGACGATGTTATTTTTTTTAAATAAACAAGTCACATTTTAGATTAAAAAAAAACGATTTTTGTTGCAACGTTATCTCATTTCAGCGGCGTTTGTATCTGATAGGATTCATTTTATAAGTATTAACATAAATAGATAACCCGTGTTAGCACAATCAACACTGTACAATGCGCAAACGAAAATGCTTTGAATAAACCTAAAGGTTGAATGTTCACGTTTAAGGGCCTTACTTGAACCCTTACCAATTTGTTTGGAAAAAAATGCAAAAAATCAACATATTTTTTTTAATTTCATTAATAAATACGAGAAACTAAAACAAAACATAACATTATGTGTAAAAAATATATAATTTACCATCAGTCCCAAATGGTCAATGAAAAAAGTTAAATATGAGTCTTTGTTCACATTTTCATCATCTGAAGAATCACCTGCATTACCTTTTTTACTCTTTCTTCTATGTAAATTCATAATCCCTAGACAATACGAAACACGTCTGCTGTCCCACAAATAGCAAACAAATATTGTCAGTAGGACTGGGCGATAAAGGAAATTTTATATCGTGATGCATCGTCAGTTTTGCATCGCAATATAGCGATGTATCGCGATATAGTATTTTTTTGAATTTCATTTACTTGTAAGGCACAGAAAGTAGGATTTCTATCAAAACTCCATACTCAGATTGATTTAAATCAATTTATAAATTTGAAGATATATATGTTTTGCTAAAGAAAGATATTAATGTTATATTTTCTAAAAATGATCGCGCAAATAACATAAGATTTCTTAGCTTAAAAATAAATAATAAAATATAAATAAAATTGAAATTTATTAGTATAATATTTACCTAACAATATAGAAAGAAAATTTAAAAAATAGGTTCGTTAAAAATTATTTGCAGGCTTAAAACAAAGTGCTAAATAAATTTTAAAAAAAAAGCGCTTTTGAAACAACCTTATTTTTTATCATTATTATTTCACATAAATAATGAAGTTAAATTGAATAATTACCGAATTCTGAACGAAAAAACAAAGTAAGGTTTAATTTCTTGAAAATAAGAACAAAAGAATTAAGACGTTCGGTAATATATTTAACTGACAATATTGAAAGATAATTAAAAAAGACGATTATACTCTATAATAAACGAAGTGCTAAATGATTAAAAAAAAAAAAAAAAAAAAAAAAAAAAAAAAAAANACTAATTTTTTTGAATAAACAAAGTTGATTGACTTATGTCCAAATCCAAAAGAGGAAAGACAAGTTTTGTTATAATTTTATTTATAAAAACAAAAACAACTAAAGATTTATAAATTTAAAATCAGTAATAAAAAACCAATTAAATTATTGGAAGTTTTATCCAAAAAGAATTATACTCTAGATAAATAAAGTAAAAAAAAGTTTAAAAAAAGTTAAAATAAAGTAAAAAATAGCCTAATAAATTTAATTATTTTGTAATTTAATTCCTTATGGGCACCTTAAATTCCGATTGTGATAAATTCAATAGTGTAAAAAATTGCTTTAATTGCTCAAAATTAATTTTCACATTTAAAAATAAAAAAAAGTTTTGTTTCAAAAAAATAATTTACCTAATTAATTAAGAAACACTTCTTTATATATTCTTTTCAATAATAGATTACGTTCAGAACAAGGTAACGACGGCGATCAGTCCCACTGAAATTAATCTACAAGAAACGATATCAAGTCGCGACAAAGGTAAAGAAAAAAAAAACAATGAAGCGCGAAAACGAACATGCGAGATCATGATATACGTTCTCAAAACTGATTCTGATTCTACCGCTCATCAATCAAGGCCGTTTCAACATAACGAAACGAACATCGTATTCCACAGCGCGAATTGGCATTGGAACGTAAGAGAAGATCCTTGCGTGTCTTGTATCGCTATATCGTTCGTCTTCTTTACTCGACGGCTTAAGACAGACTTCTGATGCATCGCCTGGAGCGAAAGTCGCTGTATCGGCCTGCCGATATAGGCGTTAAATTGTTATGTCACGATATATCGATTTATAGCCCAGTCCTAATTGGCAGATAATCATTATTGTTTGCTTTGCTTCCGACCGAGTCAAAACGTATTCTGTTATGCACGAGTATACTCGGTATAATAAATATTTGCGACATACCCGAGTTAACTCGGGCTAATCAGGGAAGCAGTTAAGATCTTGGCCCGCTAGAAACAGGAAGCTCGTTTCGATACCGTGCGATCAACGTATAGGGTGATCCTAAAAGGATTAATCTTTCTAACTAAAATAACTAAGTAAGAAAAAACAAAATGGAGTCAAGAAAGTTAAACAAAAAGAAAAGAAAAAAACAATTTTAGGTAAATCCTTCCATTTCATTTAAATGTATAATATTAACTTCATGGAAAAATTAACCTCGGTGTTACCTCGGTGAGAATTATTATTATACATAGAATCCTAGAGTACGTCGAATCATATGGCCAGAGAGTGTATATTTTGCGAAGGGAAAATTAATTGAACCTTTTTTGAATATACGCTGATAGGTAAAACACAAAAAATAAAATCACCCGCAGTCTTGTGATCATTCTGTCCATATCTGATAACGGATATTAAAAGATTGAAGTCTCTTGTTTCAACAATCGGAAGTTTTATCAATTTTTTATTCAACAATTTATCTCATCGACCTTGAACGAGTGACGTTGAGGAATCAATTGTCTTTCGGGAATTGTATAGTGTTTGCCTTGGATTAAGTAAATGAGTAAGTTTCTTTTTATTCTTAGAATTTTATGCGCATTAAAAGAAGATTTTTAATTTTTTATTTTTGCGCATTTCTTTTCAAAAATTCTTCGTACTCAGTTGTTTACACTGTTTTTTAACCTTTCCTGCTGAAACACAAAAGTTTTCCTTTATTAACCCCTTAACGATCGGTTAATTTTCAAGAAAACGGTCATAAAAGTGCCTATTTTTTGGCTTTTGCATTTGTATTACATATTTGATTAGTGTTGACATCTAGTTTAAAATAAACTATCTACAATTACCTTAAAAATATCCTGGTATTGCCATCTGGTGTGTAAAATGTGAAATGAAATGTTTTCCGAGCAAAAGAAATGAATTAGTTTTATTCTTATTGGCTACTGACACTCCACCCCATCACTATCACGGGAGCGAGAAATAGAGGGCGAAACCGTCATTTTCACGGGAAGGAAAGGCTTAATTCAATAAAGAAAAATATGAGGTGATTCCAGGTCCGAGAAACGGTCGCAACAACCGGTTAAAGAACTAAATTTTGCTCCACCAAACCTTTTTTTGATTAAAATAAAATTTTTGTACATAATCCGTTTATGATGATTGCAAACTGAAGGCTAACTTGCTAAAATATCTAGTTTGTAAAATTAGCCATCTATTTCTGTACTGAAGCCTACTATTATATTTTATTCCCTTATTTAAGAATGATAAAGAGACGATAACAATTCAGTATGGAATCTTGTTTAAATTGTATATTAGGCCTATATAGTTTTATTCCTTCTTGAAAATTATTACAATGTTTGGGGATAACCTGGTGGGTGGGGCCAAGAGTTCGCCTGCCGAAGATAATAAATGCACGTTACATCTGTCGAGTCTCCTCCCGTAACAACCTCTGGGGGAGTTCCCTTGTCTTCTGGATTGGTTCAAAATGACAAGGCCACGAGCATTCTTATCGTAAACCCAAAATTGGGTCAGTTGTTCAACAATGGTTATAAAAAAAAGTAAAAACGAACTTATAGATTGTTTATCAATTAAACGAAATCGGTCTTAAAAACGGCTTTTACAGGTTACTACTGTCATCGAAAAATTATAAATAGATCGTTTCCTTTTTTTTTTATTATTTGAGGAGTACACAAATTTAAATTTCTAATCTCAATACGTTAAATAAGGCTATGATATTTTTAGTAAAAAAAATATTTCTACGGAAAAAAAATTAAATTTGCGAACTTTTTTTTAAAGTTTATTGTATAAAATATTATTTTAAACAAACTGGTGAATATCGTTCACCATTTGACAATCTTTTATAGTAATGGTGCGGCGCTTGGCGGTGTTTGGCTTGGGCCGTATAGGAGCCCTCCATTTAAAGAATCTACGCTGGAATCCTCGTTCGGAGATCATCTATTGCGTCGACGAATCTGTTGAGAGAATGGAATATATAAAACATCATCTGAAACTGAAGGAAACTCTATTCCTAAAACCCTCACAAGCAGATATCGTTTTTCAAGATGAAAGGTAATTTTCGATAAATATTTTCTGATTAAACATGTCTGTTTATTTTAGCGGGATTCCTCGGGGATGGCTGAAGAAAGTATAGTTTAGGCAGAAACTTTTGATCCCTTCATCATGTTTTCAATTTTTTGCCCCTTTTGAGACATTTCGCCAAACCTGGAGAACTTTTTATGCGAATTGAAAACTTTTTGCACACTAGGGTGTCTCAGTTTTCACTTTTTTGTTGAAGCGAAATGTAATACCTGTCAAAAGGGGCTGTTAATCTTCTTCAACGAACATAATTTTGTTTAAAAAGTTGAAATAGATGTATTAAGGCTTACATTCAAAGTTTAGCATTTGGAATAAACGGGCATTATAGTTCGTTCACCTGGAGTTGGGATCCACCTCCTCGGACGCAGAGTTCCTATCAGCGAGGAGAAACATCTCCGTGCTTGAAAATGAGACAACCCTTCATGCACGCCAAACGCAAACAATGAATTCTTTTTCAGTCACTTACTTCTCTTGATCATCTTCTATTATACCTTTCGTTAATCAAGTTAATTAAATATATTTTAAAATTAAAAACTGCTGTTTTCCCTGAGAAATGTCTCAAAAAAGGACAAACTATTCCCTCAAAAGAGGCTATATATCATCCAATTTATGAAATATTTAATGTTAGAAAAATGCTCATAAAGAGTAAATATTTTTATCAGACAATCGCCAAATGGCAACTTTGTTCAGGATTGTTCACATACTTCTCCCAAAAATACAGTATCGTCGGATACTACGTGATGACCTATTTGTAAAACAAAATCAACTGTTTCAAGAAGTTGGGAAAAAATTATCAATTTATGACATACAACAGAAAGTTATCTTGATTTTTTAAAAAAAGTAAAAGACCTCGTCAACGACACTAAGTTGAATGCTTAACTGGTGGAAATATTGAATGATTATATCTCTATATTTAACTGACACCACTATTTTCGAAACCTAGCACTGTTATAAATCAAAAACTATTCCATGAAACAATGATTGTTTTTTTTTCTTCACATTTCTAGAAAAATGACAGTTGACCCTTCTTTAAAATTTGAAATTATTTTCAAAGTCATTCAATTTCAAAATGTTTTGTGTTTTTTTTCTGTCTTACAATTGAAAGAACAACATAGGAACTTCAAGGCAGATTTCGAAACAACTATTTTATTTCCATCGCTAAAATAAAGAAAAACTATGTAAAAACTCATTTATGAGAAAAACGATTTTTTTTTTACATTATGTCGCTCTTCATTATATAAAAATCTCATTTTTGGTTTTTTGTCGTTTATTTTTTTCTATTGTACGGTTAGTACCTAAAAGGTAAGAGAGTATTAGCTATGTTAAAATTTTCCTTTCACTAAAACAAAAAAGAGAGAGTAAAAGAATCGACTGCAAATAAATTTGTTTCTTATAGCCTTGAATCTGAAAGACAAGACCTGTTTAAGAAACCAAGGGACCTTCGAAAAGAATGTTTTTTAAGCAAATCTAATGTCCACAAAATGGAAATCACAAAAACCTGTCAAGTTTAGCCCCGATGCCAAAGGAGCTCTTAACATCAGCAGTGTAAAATTAACGGAGTATAACAACCCCTTGTTTATGGAAAAATTTGCCAAATGAACAATTCGGAACTTTAAGTAAACATTTTAAAGCTATTCTCAATAATAATCCGAAATAAAAAAGATAATTTTTTGGTAATATATATTTCTTATATTATGATATGTTTTAATATGAACTATATATATTCTTACCATGGAAATTGATTTTTTGCGGCTTTTTCAGCGGAGAAAATAATTGATTTGAATATCATGGAATAGCATTACGTCAAATGACGCTTAAATTCGTTCATCTCATTTATTTTGAAAGCTTGTAAAAACATTGTTAATCTAATAACGTAAAGTTATTAGGAAGAGCAACAAACCAAATAAATAAAAATTATAACTTATAGACAGTCTTTTAGTTCTTTGTATTATTTCGATAAATGTATTGTTTATTTAGCTTTTCAATCCGCACTTAAAACGAATATTCAGATGTACTGAAAAAGTTGCATCAGCACAAAATAATATTAATTTTCAAAGAGAGTTTTCTCAGGGTAAACAAATTAATTGAGTCACAAAGCATTGTGAAACAGAAAATTATAGTCATTTAAGAAATATATTTTTCATTTTTTAATTGTTGATTCGTTAAAGAATCTCCCCTCAGATTAACGCAGCGTCTTAACGTTCGACACCAAGCGAGTGATTTACTGCCAAGTCACTTACCTGGTCCTTCCACTGAATTTCTTCGATTCAGCAATAGAAATGAATGTTAGATATTTAAATAAACTTTCCTTGAGAAACCTCATTTTTTTCTAAATGTCTCTTACCTGGTTCTTCCACTCATTGCGAATAATATACGAAACGATAATTATGCTCATATTGTAAGTGTAGATGAGTCTAACGAAAATATTGACCCATGTAAGAAATAGGAGCTAAATCGGTAAAATGTCACAGTATATCGCACTATTATCGGCTGTTCCCTATAAAGGGTATTTAATAGCTGTTCTTTTATTCCTCCCCAAGAGAATTAAACATTGCTATAGTTTGTCTAAAATAAGAACTGTGACTTTTCCAAGTAGGGGTGAGGGGCCACTCGGATTGGCGAGAGAATCTTCGGTCCATTGTCCTAGAATGAAACTACCCTCCTTGAAATGCACCATTCTTGTTTCCATAGCACCACACGGTGGGAGGAGTTCTCAACTTAGACAAACTATACAGTTCATCATCAGTTATGTGATGCTGTTTGTGAGCAGGATTTTCCCCTTCTCCAGCATCATGCTTTTTCCTACTCTATCTTGATATTTACTTCTTATTGAAGTTTGGGGTCTGTAAGGGGAAAACCTTGAATGACTGTTCACAAAAAAGAGATGTTATTGTGTGCTACAAAATATATATTTTTATTTCCTTAAGCATCGACTGCATCCTGGTTCTGACACCTGCCATTTCACACGAAGAATTGGTCTTGAAATCTCTCAATTCAGGTGAGTTTGTCTGTCTCTCTCGGATCTTTCAAAAAACAAATGGGGATTTCCAGTAGATCACCGAAGATCAAGCATGTGTATGGGGTGGGTGATCAGCCTCCGAAGGAAACGGGTCCTCCTTAAACTGCCAGTGATCAGGGCTACCACATCTTCGGGGATATTTTCCAGCTCCAGTGCGACGGAAATAAACTACCTCTAAGAAATTAAATTATAATAATTTAGTTTTGAGCTACATTTAAGATCATTTTTAAACAAGCTAATATTACGATTTCCCTTAACACTAGATTGCCTAAGGAAGTCATTTTGACTGCTATTCATTTCAATTAGAAACACAATGATGACACAATTTCTTAGATTTTTGTACAACATATAATTTTCTTTATTGTTAATATTTACTAATAACTTGTTATATAACTGTAAATAATATAAAAAAATATAAAAAATTAATTTTTAACAAATTTCTTTACACATTATTTATTCTCTCACAGTGCAGTCATTTTGACTGCTTTTTGGCGCTATAGGTATATACTAAGCTACAGTCTTTTTAGTGTTAACCACTACCCTTATCGATCAAAAAAAAATCAACAACAATGCGAAAATCTACATCTTTTTTTTTAAATTTCATTTATAAATACTAAAATTAAACATAATGAGTTCCCTAGAAGAGTATGAAACTCATTGGAACAGTCTTCGCGTAGAACTTTTTGATGGAACACATTCGCCTTTGCGTTACTCCGAGAGCTTCCCCATTATCCTTCGACCACATGGAATATTTTTTACGTCAACATTCTGGTCGATGCAAGCTGGAAGCAGAATTAGTATCGCTGGTATTCAAACCACCTCATTGTGAGGATCTAAGCCATCGGTATTATGGAATGCGTTTTTGGACACTGATGGAGTGTAAGACATGCAGTTTAAGTTACTTAGATTTCGTTACTTAGATTCAAGAAACGGACGCTATTAACCGCTTAACTTACCCACTTTTTTGAAAAAAGGAATGCAAAAAATCAATATATTTTTTTTAAATAAATACAAGGAACTAAAACAAAACATAGAACACAAATTCTAAATTGAAATTTCAATTTTTTTTATGTGTAAAAAATATTTTATTTACTATCAGTTTACTATCCCAAATGGTCTCGGGCAAATGAAAAATTCTGCTATGCCCGAGTATACTCGGGATAATAAATGTTTGCAATATATACATACCCGAGTGAACCCGGGATAATCGGGGAAGCTGTTAAAGAAAATCCGGGTGACATTATGACGCTTGCAACGATAGAAATTTCTTTAGTATTAGTTTCGTATCATTTACTACGGAATGAGTTATAAATAAGGCCCGGATTTTGATGACATTTGCATTTTTTGGACATTTTTTGTCTTTTAGAGCATTTTTTAGCTTTATAGGGCATTTTTCTTTAAATTTTGGGGCGTATTTTGCATTTTAATGCATTTTTTAAAGTTTTCTGTTCATTTTTTCCAATTTTTATAATTTTTTATCAATTTTCATTACTACACTGGCTTTCAAACAATGAAGAAAATCTATAGGATATTAACAGGTGAAGCAAAATCTTTTCAAATTGAAGAAGAATTGTCAGTAAGTGAGACCGTCCTTTTCAAGTACACACCTATAACATCAGTAGACGTTGAAAGAAGCTTCTGCAGGAATGAAAATTTACTTTCAGACAAGAGACGCTCGTTTACATTTCAAATTATCAAAAAACATTTAATAATCCAATGTAATTCTGATATTTAGTAATATTATGAGATGGAAGTTGTTATATCCATTAAAGTTTCTATACAAAATAAAAATATTTTGGTGTCAATATATTTTCCTTTTTTTGTTATTTTAGGATATAAAACATATTTTTCAAACTTTAATGAACGTAGAACAAGTATTGCATTGCTTTATATTTTTTAAATGACTCATAATAATTTTAAAGAGCAAAACATTTTTTTAATTCAATATTTTTACTTTATTTAAGGCATTTTTTGCGCAATTTTTGCATTTTTAAGGGCATTTTTTGCCCTTTTTAAAGGCATTTTTTGCACTTTTTAAGGGCATTAGTTGAGATTTTTTAGGTCATCAAAATCCGGGCTCTAGTTATAAATAACATTTTTATGTGCTCAGTTTGTATAAATATTCCTCAAATTTTAACTCCTTATTAGTCCTCTGCAACGATCTGTTTTGTTTGCAGAAATGTGGGTACAGATTAGAGATACTTTCTCTTGTGTGTTATACAGTCAATATTATTAGACTCGCTATTAAAATTCTATGTAAAAACTTAATTATCAGGTGTTACTCTATACAGCTTTATTATTTTCATGAGAATGTTTGCACTTGTTTACGTTAGTGTATCAATTGGGTTGTTATGCGATACCTTACAAATAGGAAGCATATAAAAAAATCTCCTGAATAAAATCCGCCATTCAATATAAAATCCTATAAACTCGTGCAAAACATGTCATTATACAGTGAATCTAATCATTGGATCGAATTATTGTAATATACAGTGTTTCGCAAACTTTTGTGTACCCCTTCTAAATATTTCGTAAAGCTGTGTACCACTGATAAAAAAATTAATGTATTTTTTAGTATAAAAAAATTGCAAAAAAGTTAAAAATCACAACCGGCTGTTGATACCACTCATTATTAACTGTTAACTTTGCAAAACATAGACAATAGAAAAATACGTTATCGTAAATTTTCATGGCTAGATTTGTTTTTAAATAAAAGTTTTTGAAATTTTCGTTTGTTGCGAGATATTTCGCATAAGAACGCGTTCCCCCGGCAAACCGTTACCGTACCCCTGGGGGTACGCGTACCACACTTTGGGGGACACTGTACTAATATAATGCCTGATATAATAAATATTCTATATTTGAATAATATATCGTCTCATTTAACCCATTGGTACAGGAACAGGTGCAAACCGGTTTCAGTCGCGTCAAGACAATAAAGCAGTAAAAGTATCACCTGTTTACGTAGAATCTTGATAGTGCGTCTAATAATATCCAGGGACTGTACGTTCGATCATATCTATAAACACAGAACTTATAAACTCGATTGTTTATAAACACGGAAGATCCTGTGCAGGGTCAACTCTTTACAGTGGACAAAATTACGGAAATCCCATTGACCTCCCCACCCAAAAAAAATGGTCTTCATAAAATAAAAGGTCGCAATAAAAATCACCTGGTCTTAGCGAAAATGAATGTTTGGAAGCTAAATGAATATCCTTTTATAAATGAATACCGAAATTGGAAAAGGGTTAAAAATCAAAATAATGTATATTATTTCAATAGGTAAAGTTGTGTTTTGTGAGAAACCTTTGGCTACAACTGAAGAAGGCATAAGAAGATGTTTGGAGAGAGCGAAAAAATTATCTTTGCCAATATTATGTGGATTCAACAGGTATATATGTTTGATTCCGATCCTGAGCTTCATGAGATATGTATAAAATACTTAAGCTGCGATGTGGTAACCAAGGTTTATACTATCACTTAATAGATCATGGGTTGGAATCCTCTTGTCGCCTCGTTTCGTACTCTCCAATCTCTTGTGTTCTGTGTTGGGACAAGAGGTTAAACATTGGTAAACCTAAAAAATGAGTCAACTGTTCAACACCAGTTAAGCAAAAATAATAATAAATATATGCATCTTTTCAATTCAGTGTAAAAAGAAAGACAGAGGATACCTCATTTGTCTAGATAGAAACATAATTTCTCTCCTACTCTGAATTTACATAGTTTACTGTGAATCTAAGGAATTAATGAAAATTATTTTCAGTTTCATCAAAGTCGATTATGACAAAGTTAATGGAAGTAAGCAAATTTTAGAAGAAGAACAGTTTTTCTTAATAGAGATGGGATCGGGATAGCCTGGTTGGTAGAGCCCATGTCCAAGAGTTAGATCCCAGCCGGCCGAAGAGTAAATGGTGACTGATGCATGTTAAATCTGTCGAGTCGCAAAGTCACCCGTGTTCCCATAACAAATCAATACCTCGGGGATCTAGGAGTTTCCTTGTCTTCTGGATTGAGTTCAAAATGACAAGGCCATGGAGTTAACCATGAGTAGTCTTAAACCTAAAATTGGCTCGCATGTTCAACGACGTATGTAAAATATAAAATAAAATAGAGATCAGAACGTTTATTAAGAAAAGGTCTCATGATAAACTTTTTTATTACCTTTAACGAAGAGTTTGGTTCATTTAGGAAACTAGTCACTCATTAAGGAAACTAGTCTCTTGTCCAACACAACAGCTGACCGACACCCAGTCAGAGAATCAAGAAGTACGATGGTCTCTAACAGCTAAACTCTCGCATCAACATTTCATACTGTTTAAACAGGGTCCTTATCAGTCACAGAGCCCTGTGCATCCATAAAGATGCATTTGGGTCCACGTGCCCTACCGAAAAATCTCACATAGAGTGCAAAGATCTCGCAAATGTTCTGTGACCAGTCAGTGTGCTTCTATTAATTGCTGGTCATATCATGCTGGGCAGGCATCATGTCCAGAACATCAAAAGACAGAGAGGTCATTTTCAACACTCTCCTGATGAGAACACGTCGCGATTTGCTGTCCACACAGACTCACTAAAAAGAACCAGCCCCCAATCATCCTTTGATCAAGACAAGTGTTCTCAGCACCTGCAAGATCGTTCTTATTGTGGCTACAATTAAAGAAATGCAGACTAAGGCCACCTGCCTTAAGTCTCTGGGAGACTGTTATTCATAAAATAGATGTTTCTGTTACATTATACAAGCCGCGAGACGATTGTGTCGATGTCACGGACCTTTTGACTTGAAGTCTCAAATAATGGACTGCCTGACCAGATCAGCGGACCACTGTCTCTGTGTCCACAAAGTGAACATCGCACACTCTGAAGTCCTTACAACAATAGGCCTGCAACGAGTCTTCCAACTATCCGCCACCATGTGGCGTTGTCTAGACGATGATAACCGGCCATACGAGCAAAGGTAAACAAAGAAATTAAAACAAAGATTCTGCGATGTTTTAAAACGTCCTTACGCTGCAAGTTTCGGCAAGCAAAGTATATCTGCACACACGCGATCACAGCGCCACTGTGTCTCAGAAGCGTTCGCGATGAGTTTGCTATCATCTGTTACCTTATTTGGGATAGGCTTTACTTATTTTATTCTTTTTTAAGAAAAGAAAATATTCTTCCCTTAAGTTGTTTTCATCAGTATATAAAAATTACGAAATTTATCAGGCATTAAAAATTTATAGCGATCTACCACTTTTGGCCTTTATCTGATGCATATCTAGGGCTTGAACCTTCAATTAAACAATTAATTTTAAAACCAATTTCTAGTTAAAGTTAGGATTACATGTTAGATAATATTTTCAAACCTAATGACAACTAAAGCTGAAGATAAAATAAAGTATGGATATTTTTCCTTTTAAATAAATTATCAATGCTTTATTAAATGCTTTTTTTTATTCATTTTTTTAAAAACTGTTTAATAAAAAATGTGTGACTACTTTTTATGTACCACATATAATTAAATAAAACTGCAGAAAAAATTCCAAATCGATGTTTGGAATGTAGTAAATAACTTATATTTCATTTTTATTGAATTTTCTAAATTTTTAAGCGTATGACAATGGAGTCGTCTTTTTATTTTGAGATGTAGCAAAGTTAAAGGAACCTAAATGTACCTCAGCTTTACTTCAAATTTAAAACAAATTTGGGAACCGTGCTTCTCACACATAAGCAGAGCAGGTATTTGAAAGTTGTTATTTTCAGACGTTTCGACCCGGGACTGCGGAGTCTGAAAGAGAGGGTGGATTCGGGTGAGATCGGAAAAGTACACGTGATCAAAATGTCCTGCAGAGATTCCCCAAGATCTCCCATATCCTACTTGAAAACATCAGGTCAGTTTAACGTTCCTTTTAAAAAAAGTATTTTCAGCAAATTTAACGCGATTTTAAAGTGCGTTTGGTGGAAATTTAAAATTCAAAGTCATCTAAGATTTTATTAAAAAAAAATTTGAATTTTTTTTTAAATATTTAAACGAGTTAGATTTTAATTTATATGTGTAAAATTTAAACTGTGGGAAAATGTGACAAAATTCATTGAAATAGTGAAAGTTGAAAATATCCAGAAACTAAAAAAGAAATCAAAATTCAATGTTTGCATATAAAACGGAGTGTTAAATAATGTTGATTTTAAAGCTACTAAATTTTTAGAAATTTTGTTTTTACTTTCAGAATTCGTAGTTATAATTTTTGTTTAAAGAAATAAGCAAAAAAATAAAAATTTTATTTATGCATGTAAGTCATAATTCATTAAAATCCATTAAATTAAAAATTATATTCAGTTTTTATAAAAGCTAATAAAAATCATTTCTGTATTTTAATGAATGGCGAAATTTTATGTGTTGTTAATTTTTTACTAATCAAAGATTGAGCACAAAAGTTTTATTAAAAAATTTATTCATAAGGTAAACTAAATGTGTATATGGTAAAATTACAAAAAAATAATTTAATTTTTGAGCAAAATATGTTTGGTTTAGTAACACTGAATAACTTATTTAGAAATACATTCTAAATATGGTTGTCAAAATTAAATAGATTCATTTTATGTTGGAGTTTAAGAGCATTTTTTCCAAAATGTAAAAAATTATTGTTATTATTGCTGTATATTCCCAAAGACAAAATTTTATTTTCGTAATGATTTTTTGGATCCCTTTTTTATAAAATTTATATTTTTTACTTCAAAAATATTAAAATCTCGTCTTTTTTTAAGAACTGAACTTTCGGAAAAACTCGTAGTAATTATTCAATAAGCACTGAACTGAGTAAACTATTAAAAGAAAAATATTGTCTAATTTGTCAAGATTTTTATTCAAATCTATAGAATTTAAAATCGTAAAAGGGAGTTTGTAATTTGCTCGATGACAAAGTTGGAAGACATAACACATTATAAAAAAATCTCCTTATTTTTATTAAAATTAAATTTTGAAATAGTTAAAATTAAGTTTTTTGAAGAGTTTCAGAGATTAAGTGTTTTGATTTCAGAAAGAGAACAAAAAAGATTTCTGAACAATAATCTACTCTAAACATTTTAAAGTTAATATACACATAAATTTTGTTTTATGCAAAGTTATGTTACCTAATTGAATTTAATACTAAAATTAGATTTCTAGAATAAATGTTAAAAACAAGGGCATGCACGTAAGTATGGAGTGAATTTTTCATTTGAATTATTTTTGTTTCGCTATTTTAGAAATTGCTTTAAGTTTCAAATATTTTCTCTGGAGTTAGGCTGTTAGGTCAAATTTAGCTATTACAATAAAAATGGCACAAAACATCAGAATTTTGGGAAAGCATTACTCCAACGCTATAAAAAATTTACGAAAATTGAGAATATTTATTACGTATAGAAAATACTGTATAAAATTATACAACATGAGTAGTTATTTACAGTAAGAAGGTTTATATAGTTTCAAATAAGTTTTGCCTTAAGTGTAATGTACTTAAAATGAGACTTTTTCTTTTTTTAAAGCAAAAACTTCGAAAAGCATTGTAAATGGATCGTTGAAAGTCATTTAAAGAAAAGAACATAAAGCAGAGCTACTATACCTCTGATTTATTTCAAGCATCACTGGCTGCCGTCAGTGTGCGGGTGGGTGACCACTTGGATCAGCCTGCGTAGGGACCGAGGGTGTGCGTTATTGGTCCTCGTTGAACTGTGCTACCGTAAAGTGCTCGACTTCGCGTGCAGATCGTCGGGCTACCGAAGCGGGGGTGCCATCCCCTCTGCAGAGGATCAAAATTGTGATGGCATTTCTTCGGATCATCCTCAGGGATGTTTCCCAGACCGTCGGCAATAGCCCATTGTGCAGCTCTAGTGCGACGTAAATGAACTACTATTACCTCTGATTTATTCACGGACCATTCTCACTGCATGCGATTCACACATTCAGTTTTGGGGACGGTTTGGGGGACAAAGAAATTATATATATATTACTTGATTAACTAACTATTGTAAGGTAAGTAGGATGTAAATATTAAAAAGTTTTCATTATTCAGTTCTTTTAAGTTTAAACGTTTAGAATATATATATAAGAGGGAAATAGGGCCAAGGTAGCCAAGTTGGCAGGACACTGAACTCAGGTTCGTGAGAACAGGAGTTCACATCCAGCCGTCCGAAAACTCTCTGTGTAGTAAATGGTGACTGGTGCACCTTGAATATGTCGGGTCATAAAGTCCTCCATGTTGCCATAACAAATTAAACTCTGGGGGTGCTGAATTGGAGATTGAGCGTTCTATGGTTCAGGTCAAAATTACAATTGCAGATGAATGAATGGATGCATGACCCTATAAACAGGTATGACGTATGGGTGAGGCAGGAAGACGAATTCTTCGTCATAGATGGCGCCATTGGAAAACAAGAACAGTTGCATCCCATCTGCTTTAATGGCCAAAGACAAGAACAATAGGAGGAGATAACCAATAACCCCGTCGAACATGCATTGAAACTATGTCACTGGCTACCACACACTGCTTTCAAGAAATAAACATGGGATCTCATGCTTTCAGATGGTGTTAGACAGCACAGTATTGGTTAGTTTCAGAAATAAGGCGAAACGTAGAAATAAATAATAAATAAAGTTAAAATAAGGGTTTTGTCTTTCGACCCCACTTCTGACTAAACAGTTGAGAATCGGGATCATATTTTCCAGGTAGAGGATACCAGAATGCATAAATCAGAAACTGTCATAAAAAAGTATATTTATTCAGTATAAGTTCGTATTTTTGTTAGATTTTGTAACTTAAAATATGGTTTTGACAAGGAAATTTAATATTTATATCTTGGACCATTATGATTACACGTTAAAGCGCGAAAATCTGATAATTAGAGTTAAATTTCATACCATGAGTCACATTTTTATTTTTATTTTGCACACTCTTCAAAGAAAAGCAAAAATTTTTTTTAATATTAGAGAGATTTTGCATAGCGATACGGTATCCCGCTGCCTGTAACGGTAACGTTATTTGATCTTCACAAGCTTCACAGCGTATGAGTGAAAATTTTTATGCAAACTGCAGAATCAAGGTTAGCGTTGTGCATAGCTTGAGAAAAACGCTATGCAAAATCTCTCTAACAATATTATTCGTTCGTAAACGCTAAGTTTAAAAATTGTTTTAAAAAGTGTTTAAATCACGTTAAGAATATTAAAAAAAAAAAACTTTCGTAAAAAACGTAAATTGGGGAACTTTCGTCTGATAATTGAGAAGCTGAGAGTATGAACATTTTAGAGACATTTTAGTGAATTTTGAGAAAATTAGTGAATTTTTAGTAAATTTAGTGAATTTTTAGAAAATTTTATACGTTGATAAAGAAATAAAGATAGTATTGCTTTTATGCTTTTGTCCGCAAGGCTCAACTTGGCAAAACTTTTGAATTTTCAACAATAATTTAAACTGTTATAACAATAATTTGAATCAGTTATAAAAAAAACTGTTTTTTTTTCTTCCTTTCTTTCAGATGCACTTGAAACCCTTTTCCACTCTAAAAACATTTAAAGACTATTACTTTGTACCTTCATCTACTGAGATTTACGAAATTTAATAACATACAAAATAAATTAATGTTGTATAGATAAATAAGACAAAAATAAAGTCTTTTCCCGAGAAATCTCATATAATTTCAAGGATATCATTTCAAATCTTCTTCTACTCTGCTAAAAATCTAAGAAACGTTATTTTCCCCCAAAACAAATATAAATACTTAAAATATAACTTACCGATAACATTTCCTTGGCATGAATATATCGAAATCTTTGAATGTAATAGAAGATAAGCCATGCAAAAGATATGATCATGAGAACGATGAAAGATAAAGAAACAAATAACACAGATGTCCTATTTATTTGTCCAAATCTAAAAATTCCACGAGGTCCAACACCGATTCTCATTATAATGCGGGTACCATTATCTACTAAAGATGCTAGTTGTTCTCCCTTCCTTTCGTTTATCACTACAAATGTTATCCGGTACGCTACAAAATAACAAATCGATACATTAAATAAAATAATTAAGTACAGGAGAGAAAAACATTTATGAGTAATGCATTACAAATGTCATGCGGTAAGTTACAAAATAACAAATCGATACATTAAATAAAATAATTAAGTACAGGAGAGAAAAACGTTTATGAGTAATACATTACAAATGTTATCCGGTACGCTACGAAATAACAAAATGATATATTAAATAAAATAACTAAGTACAGGAGAGAAAAACATTTATGAGTAATACATTACAAATAATATCCAGTAAGTTACAAAATAACAAATCGAAATATATTAAACAAAATAACTAAGTACAGGAGAGAAAAATATTTATGGGTAATAAATACACTATAGATGTTATCAGGTACGTTACAGAATGACTAATCGATATATTAAACACAATAATTAAGTAAACAAGAGAAAAACATCTATAAGTAATACACTACAAATGCTAACCGGTACGCTACAAAATAATTAATCGATATAATAAACGAAATAACTAATTACAGAAGAGAAGAACCTTTTATTTATAGGCACTACTTTAAGTCAGGGCTTTTTAAACTATGGGTAAAGATAAGCCGTATGGTTAAACTTTGGGGTCGTAAAAAATATGAATTGTAATATATTTTCTACATGGTGTGTGTGGGGGAATAGTTAAAAATATTATTATTATAGGTATATTGCTGCTATATGGAGGGAAAAAAAACTGAACACCTTAACAAATTTTGACCAACAGGGATCGAGTTTTCATGTACCAAGATGCAAATATAAAAATGCGATTAAACATGTTAGTTTGTGCTGATGATTTTTTAAGTTATAAAACAACACACAAAAAACGTAACTTCTC